TCTCTCTCTCTCTCTCGGGCCCTGGGGGGCAGGCTCTCTCTCTCTCTCTCGCGGGCCCTGGGGGAGTGGGTGCACTGACCGTGTGCGTGTACCCCAGTTCCAGGCCTGAGGGATGGAGATGGAGTTACACTCTGGCCTGCAGGACTGTGTGCTGACCAGGCCTCAGGTTAAACTGGTCCAGGACGTGGCGTTCCCAGACTGGGTCGCAGACAACTGGAGCCTCCTGGAGTCTTTCCAAGCGAAGGCCGGGGATCTACTCATCGCAACCTACCCCAAAGCAGGTGAGGGATGGAGGGAGAGGGCCCCGGGGTGAGGGCCCCAGGGCGGAGGGAGAGGGCGAGGGCATCAGGGCGGAGGGAGAGGGAGCGGGCCCCGGGGCGGAGGGAGTGGTCCCCAGGGCAGAGGGAGGGGGAAGTGGGGAGGGAAGGGGCTCCAGGGTGGAAAGAGCATCCAAGGGTGGAGTTGGAGGGCCAAAGGGTAGTGGGAGAGGGCCCCAGGGCAGAGAGATAGGGAGTCAGTCTAAGGTTGGTAGGGACAGTACGGTTGAAAAATTGACTATTTTCATATTTTACACCGTTACCTTCACACTCTTTCTCCCTCTCCTCCCTCCCTCCCCCTCATTCCTCCTCCCTCCTCTCTGCCTCCCTCCCTCTGCAGGGACGACCTGGATGCAAGAAATTGTTGATCTCATTAACCACGATGGAGATGGGGACATGTGTAAACGGGGTCCCGTCCACGATCGCATCCCCTTCCTGGAATTTTTCCCTGGTCAGCACAACATTCCAAGCGGTGAGTGTCTCTGTCAGTGTCCCCCTGTACCCCGGGGAGAGTCAGTGACCCCCCGGGTCCCCGGGGAGAGTCAGTGACCCCCCCCGTACCCCGGGGAGAGTCAGTGACCCCCCTGTACCCCGGGGAGAGTCCGTGTCCCCCTGTACCCCAGGGAGAGTCAGTGACCCCACCATACCCCGGGGAGAGTCAGTGTCCAAGCCCCCCCCCATACCCTGG